CCAATCTTCATCAACAGTCCCCAATCTTCATCGACAGTTGTCAGTGTTCATCAACAGTTCCCAATCTTCATCGACAGTTTCAAATCTTCTTCGACAGTTGCCAGTCTTCATCAACAGTTGCCAGTCTTCATCAACAGTTCCCAATCTTCATCGACTGTCCCCTATCTTCATCGACAGTTGTCAGTGTTCATCAACAGTTCCCAATCTTCATCGACAGTTGCCAGTCTTCATCAACAGTTCCTAATCTTCATCGACAGTCCCCAATCTTTATCGACAGTTGTCAGTGTTCATCAACAGTTCCCAATCTTCAATCTTCATCGCCAGTTCCAAATCTACATTGGCATTTCCGGTCTTCTTCATCTTCTTCACAGTCTTCAATCTTCATTGAAAGTTCGTTCCAATTGATATTATTGGCTATGTGAAGACCTATTTAACAACCACTCAAACGACTAAAATTTTTTAATTAATTTATTTTGTTAATTTAGTTAAATATTCAATGTAGGAAACAGCTGAGCTCATTACGTTTAACAGTGTTGTGCAATGTGCCCTTGGGATTATTTTTGCCAATATTGAAACATGTATAGGCCTACTTTGATATATGTAGCCACAATTATCCAGATACGAAATCTTGTATTATCATACTACCAGAGCTTGCTCGCCTGGATTACAGAGTCTACTAGTTTACCTATACTACATTACAAGTAAACCATTACACTGGTAATCAGAGTCTATCAATAGTCATTAACGATCTATTTTTAGACTGGATTGTAATGGCTATTTATATTTATCCGATTTCACCACAGTTTGCAAATATATTATTCAATATAAAGATTACTTGATTCACGAATCATTATATTCTTCGAAACCAGTTACCGGTGACACTGGGTGTGAAAATCTAACATGGTACTAAAATTTGGTAAAGGCGGCATCAGTACGGGCAGTACCCTACGCTTGACCAACACCGCTAAATTTTTGGAATCAGCATCTGTTTTTTACTCGTTAAACAAGAAAGGACGATGGAAACTGCCAGAAATTATCGAAGAGAAGATCCAGTCCGAGCTGCCGAGTGCCGACGTGAAAGTGACATTGATGAAACTCCACAAACTTCACAGAAAGAACAACTGTATAGGATATTTTACTAACAAGGGAAGTGTTAAATCGGTAGTTCCTAAGAAAACGAAATACGTCAACCGCCTAAGTGTCGTTAATGTTAACCGAAAACCCTTTCGGAACAGGCGCAGAAGACGAAATAGAGAAGTTGAGCCAGATCGTAACATTGCAGACGACAATGAAATAAAGTACCATATCGTGTATCCGACACCGTCATCGAGTGCAGTAACGCACACCAATCCACAAAAGATTGGTCACGATGTGATGCTGAACACGCACAACCTCGGCAAGACTGCTGTCAGATCGAAATGTAGAAAATGGCGCTGCATTGAACGTGATGTGAGATGTGATATGGACTATACTGATTATGATGCTGTTGATGAGGATTCGGGGTTCGATACGATAGAAGAAGTGCATCAATCTCAAAAACGCTCCTCGTTTTCCGAATATTTTGAAAGTGCCCTCGGTCGACCATCCGACATCAGGATCAAAACAAGAAGAAGGCCAGTTAAAAAGTTGCGGAAGCTTAGAAATAAACCAATGCTGCACTATTTAGAGACCCAGGTCATGGAAGTGGAAGAAGAAAATTCGGAGTTCGTCTACTCAAGGCCGCCAACTACGGAGTGTCAGCCAGTAGATGTTCTTATTTCAAACCAGGAATCGAATCCAGATCATCTGAAGACGAAATATGGTGACAAGGTCACGTTTGCTCAATGTGAACCTCGAACTTTTATCATTGATATTACAAACGAAGTAGGTAGTTGTTTGAAAAGCTCAAAAGCTTTTAAGAAAGTCATCTTCAAAAAGTTAGAACTTGCAACCTTTCTGGTGTTTTCCCTCAAGTCTACTGTCGATCCTGATTATAGTTTGTGGGAAGTGCAAGTCAATTTACCAACAAAATTAACTTCAATAAGAATCAGCGCTCTCATCGATAACATCAGAAAACTGGATGTTGACGACGTTATTTCTTTAACGACGCGTTATCTTGAAACCATCCCAGACGAATGTTTTTACCGCAAGGCTTTATTACCCATAACAAAGACTCCATTTGAGAAGCTCAACACCATCGACACATTTGCTCAGCTGAGGGCCAGTAATTGTCTTTTGGACGATTTAGCTCAACCAGCCACGGGCGTTTTGTCAGATTCAAACCAAAATGACGCGCTTTCTGAGTGGATTCAATCACTTAAAGAAGATAGTGTTTGCAATATTTGCTACACGGATGTGTCCCCATTTACTTCTCTCCGACCTTGTGGACATATTTTTTGCAATGAATGTTGGAAAGAGCACCTGCTCAGCTCGTTCACTTTCAAATCTAAAGTGGTGTGTCCTGAGTATAAATGCGACCAAGAGGTGGATGTGGGAACGATGCTCAGACTTGTGAACATTAGAGACATCCAAAGATCAGAAAAAAAGAACATGAACACCAAAGTCGAGTCGTCATCTTGCATGAAATGGTGCCCCAATCAGAAATGTGAACGCATTCTGCAAAATTATGATCTCAAACAGGACTGTGTCATTTTGTGTGATTGCGGTATGTTCGTATGTTTTGAGTGCAATGACGAACGACATTGGCCAGCATCTTGCGATGAATATGCATCCTATAAAAATAAGTTAAATGCATTCGGAGGCGATGTATTAAGGAGTGACTTTCTGGACATTCCCAGATTGAAAGTTCGTGGTAAGCCATGTCCTGGCTGTAAAGCATTCATCATCAAGAATAGAGGATGTCCTAGTATGATTTGTCCATGTGGCTGTAGATTCTGTTGGTCTTGCTTGACACCATTGCGGAACCACACCTACTCAAATTGCGGTCAAAAGAATGAACAGGAAGGGGCCATGGTGCATGAATTTGTACACATTGACAAAAAAGTGGTCGGAAATCCTATGAAGTCTAAATTGTATAGTAGAGCTGTGGCATTTCGAAAAATGAGGCGAGAAAAGCATATCAAAGATTTATGGTCCAAAACCTTGGGCTTGAAAGTTAGAATTTCGAAATGGTTGGCAAAACATGATGTTAGCTTTGGAGATTTTGGATTGCTCTCTGAACAACAATTTGATGAATTATTTTCAGATGTGTTCAATGTGACCATGGAACTGAATTATCTTAGTGAAATATGTTTAGTCATATTGGACTCTAAAGCCAAGATACGGAACAGAGTTCTTCCAAATTTACGATGTTCTTTCGAATGTCTCGAATTTTACGGTAGGATGTTAAATGATATCTTAATGGACAGTGACCTCAAAAACATCAAATCTCCCAAAAAACTTTTGACTGAACTTATCTCCCTAAGACAAACCGCCAAAGGTTTCATAGCTTCCACTGTACATGTTATTAAACATTTTAGAAACTATGAATCTAAGCGATAAATTTGAGACATTTTGTTGTTTATTGAGTCTATTAGAACCAGATTTTTGTTGTTGTTGTTGTTTTATGATAATAATATTTTAATAAATAAATTGATTTAAGATTAAAGCTACGTTATCCCCCTCCTTTAAGAGTATTATTTTTTTTTATTTTGCTGGGTGGTGGTGGTGGTGGGTTACTACTATTCATTCCGATCTTAAAACTATTTTTGGTGTTATAGCTGTTTAGTTGTTGTAGTAGTATTTAGCTGCCAATGCACCGGTGTTTTCTTTGGGTTTTTGCCTTCAACAGGTTTAACTTTGGGAAATCTTTTGTTGTCATATACAAGCATTAAAATATGCACATTGGTTTGAAGGAGTAGTCCAGACATGAGAGAAAAGATGGAGAATATATAGAGGTGATGAGGAACTAGAGGGGGTGGGGGCCAAGAAAGGGAGGGTACAGAGATGATAATTATGGAGAAAGAATCAGGTGGGGAAGAAAGAAAACATGGTGAAAGAAGATGAAATAGACGGGGTAGAGCAGAAAGAGACCTAGGGAGGTATAAAGGAATATGATCAAGATAGATGGGGGGTAGGCCAGAGAGAGAGACATGAATGCTTTAAAGGAAATAGGTGAAAAAGAAATGGTTATGAAAGGTAAAGAAGAGATAGACGGGGTGGGGTGTTCGGGGGAAGAGAGATATAGGAAGAAATTCAAAGAAAGACACAGGGAAGACGAGATGATAGTTGTATAACTGATTTAAAGTGAGAGAGGGGTGGTGGGCTTAGGGTCTACTCTCTTAGTTTGAGAGGTACTCATTGTACCTCCGTGCAATGCTTCGAATTACAGTACTCCGAAGACTTATTAAGGGTAGCTGGCTTCTATATCGTATAATAGATATGTATCTGTACTACCATTACGACTATGACTGAACCTTAAAAAATTTTATAAGAAGTCTCAGTGGTCAAATAAAATTGGAGAGAATTCCTTCCCTTGCATTAAAACGTATATAAAACGTTACTATTTAAATTGTAAATTTTGGTTCACATTTCCTAAAAAAAGGAATTCACATGGTATCACGAGACGAGCGGAATTCTTCAAATTAACTGTTTGTGAAAAGGCCAAATACTCAATAATATATCATCGCCAAATATGGTCACATTCATTTATTAGAACTGGTGGTTGGCAGTGTTAGGTCATGTTCGGTTGTGAAAAGATGTATTAATTTGTAATCGGCAGTTGTTGACTATCCTCGGTGGTAAAAAGACGCATTTGGTAGACTTGGTTGTCAAACAAAGTAAATTACTGCTTTATTGTAACACGCGACTTCCGGTGTAAACAATATGGCGACATTTAGTAAAAATTTAAAACATTCAAAGCTTATTTTGGAAGAAAATGACTTCATACAACATGATTTACTCGATTCAAAGTTATGGAAACAGTCCTTGACAATATTTCTTTCGTAGGGTCGCAGACTTGATTGCCCAGTAAGCTACAAAATTGTTCTCGTACTTCAATGACGGATTTACGAAGAGAGAATAGCTTACAGAATACAGGACTAAATCAAGCCACTGATAATATGGCAATCGGAGGATAGCTCTCATTCGCTTATGAATGAATACATTAATATAATTTTTGGACAGGATATTCCAGATACATTGTAATGCAAATTAAAACAATAATATAATTTTAAGCTTCCATGCAAACGTCCAAAAAAAATTATTTCTGCAGTGTTTAATTTGTACAAATGTAATTCAAGCTATTGTATTTTCAACTTGTCAACAAAATTGAACTTTAGTCAGGTAGCAAATTTGATTATTCCGTTCTTTTTTTTCTTTTTTTTCAGGTTTTTGTTAGACTGAGAAACTTAAAACTTTTTACCAAATTGATTTATGAAGAGAAGTAAGAAAGTTATAGTTGATTTCGAATTTTACGCGTCATAATATTGTATATCGCGTAAGTAGCCATTTTGAAAATTGAGTATAAAAGTAAAATGGATCTCTTATGAATGAATATATTTGTATGATTTTTGGACAGGATATTCCAGATACATTGTAATGCAAATTGAAACAATGAAATTATTTTAACCTTCCATGCAAGCGTCAAAAAAAAATTATTTCTGCATTGTTTGATTTGTACGAATATACTTCAAGTTATTGTATTTTCAACTTGTGAACAAAATTCAAATTTGTTTATTCTGAATTTTTTCTGTTTTTCAGGTTTTTGTTAGACTGAGAAACTTAAAACTTTTTACCAAATTGATTTATGAAGAGAAGTAAGAAAGTTATAGTTGATTTAGAATTTTATACGTCATAATATTGTATAATGCTTATATAGCCATTTTGAGAAATTGAGTATAAAAGTAAAATGGTTCTCACTGGCTAATGAATGAATATATTTGTATGATTTTTGGACAGGATATTCCAGATACATTGTAATGCAAATTGAAACAATGAAATAATTTTAATCTTCCATGCAAACATCACAATAAAATTATTTCTGCAGTGTTTAATTTGTTCAAATATACTTCAAGCTATTTACATTGTATTTTCAACTTTAGTCAGGTAACAAATTTGATTATTCTAAATTTTTTCTGTTTTTCAGGTTTTTGTTAGACTGAGAAACTTAAAACTTTTTACCAAATTGATTTATGAAGATAAGTAAGAAAGTTATAGTTGATTTAGAATTTTACGCGTCATAATATTGTATATCGCGTAAGTAGCCATTTTGAGAAATTGAGTATAAAAGTAAAATGGTTCTCACTGGCTAATGAATGAATATATTTGTATGATTTTTGGACAGGATATTCCAGATACATTGTAATGCAAATTGAAACAATAAAATAATTTTAAGCTTCCATGCAAACGTCAAAAAAAAATTATTTCTGCAGTGTTTAATTTGTACGAATATACTTCAAGCTATTTACATTGTATTTTCTTTAAGTCCTATTTTAAGACTATTGTTTGATTTAAATTAAGATTTTAATATTTCAAATTGTAATTTCTTTCAGGGTTTGGGAAATAGAAAGAGTATGTAAGATCTGTAATGTTATTTGGCAAGGAAAATTATGTAAAAAACAGTTAGAAACAAGGTGTCAACAAAGAGGACTCAGACAATTCTGTCCCTGTGTAAAAAGATTCAGACAAACGTGATTAAATGGGACAGCCAAAGCACGGCCAGCTTTATTCCTTAGGAGATTTTGCACAAACACAACAAACATTACAATATTTATTCTTTAATCCAAAGACAGGCCGATATTTGAAAACTACAGAATACATTTATTCACAGAAAAAAAGAACACGTTTCTGTCCATAGACAATAAATTTTTCACTAAAGCGTTAAAGAGGATATTGTGTCTGTCCACAGATATGTCTCCATTTCTCATGTGGCTGGTTCTCTTGTCCTCGAATCCTCGTCAGCTGAAATGTTTCACTGCAAACAACCAAACCAAAGTTCCGCTACACCACAATTCTAACATTAAAATGGTAAATTTCGGCTATTCGCTACAATTTAGCTTATGACAACCGTCTGGTATTTTGAAATTCTGGTCCCTGGTGATGTGTTAGCCCTTCATTTACTCTCAAACGAAGTTATGAAGCTGGTATTTACGTTTTAAATCAGAAATTTGAAAAATTCGTGACAAAGTCAGCCATTTTGTTTACACCGGAAGTCACGTGTTAGAATACTGCAATAGAAACCTTTGTTTGACAACCAAGACTACCGTTGAATCTTTTTATTACCGACTAATTGGCGCTGTGAGTTGTCTCCCTTAGAACATGATCATCCAGACACTTACACGTATTAAATCTGCAGTTGTGATAATCAAGACTAGATGTAAACAAACAAAATGGCTGACTTCTTCACGAATTTTTCAAATTTCTGATTTAAAACGCAAATGCCGGCGTTATGACTTCGTTTGAGAGTGAATGAAGGGCTTAACAATCACCAAGGACTAGAATTCCAAAAGATCAGACAGTTGTCATGAGCTGAATTGTAGCGAATAGCGGAAATTTGCCATTTTAATGTGGCTTTTGTGCATTATTTCTCAGCAGTCAGCCATTTTGTTTACACCGGAAGTCACGTGTTAAGAGTAGTGCAATAATTTACTTTGATTGACAACCAAGTCTACAATGTGCGTCTTTTTACTACCGACTAAGTTGCTTTGTGAGTTGTCTCCCTTAGAATATGATCATCCAGACACTTACACTTATCAAATCTGCAGTTGTGATAATCAAGACCAGATGTAAACAAACAAAATGGCTGACTTCTTCACGAATTTTCCAAATTTCTGATTTAAAATGCAAATGCCTGCGTTTGAGAGTGAATGAAAGGCTTATGCATCATCACGGTCCAGAATTCCAAATGATCAGACAGTTATCATGAGCTGAATTGTAGCGAATAGCGGAAAATTGCCATTTTAATGTTAGAATGTGCCTTTTTTTGCATAAAATTTCTAAGGAGTTTGTGTTTTACTTTACTTGATACTTATATTTATTCAAATCTTTTTCAGGTGATGCTGATATTAACAATATGCCAACAGATACAACTGAATCTAAATTTGTATTTGTAATGTAATGAATAAAAATTTGTTACAATTTTAACCCTTATGTCTGATTGCTGT